ACAGTGGCCACACCCCCGGTGGTTCCGGAGGCAACAGTGGCCACACCCCCCGTGGTTCGGAGGACGACGGTGGTCACACCTCCAGTGGTTCCAAGGGTGCCTGGGGACGTTGCACCCTCGAAGGTTTCTGTTTCAGTGACTGACGCTCACTCAGCAGTTCTTGGGTCGGCTGGGGGAGACTTTGTGACTATTGGTATGCCTTGGTCTAGGGGACTCCTTACCAGAGACACAAGTTCCCTAGACCAAGGTACAAAAAAGGGCCAGGCCAAGTATAAGGGTACTGGAATTTTTTTTTTCTCTTCTTCCGTTTTTCCTCTTGTGCCTAGTTTTTTTTTAAATTATTATTTATGTTTTTGAATACGCCTTGTTTCAGTTTATCTGTTTTGGTATCCCTCCCACCCAACCCAGAGAGTTGGTGGTAGGCTTTTGGACGTCCGGGGGACGTCCATTAAGAGGGGGGTACTGTCATGTCTGTCTGTTTCCTTTTCCTGTTGTCTTTGTGGGGTTATCTGTGGGATCACACTCACCTGTTGGTAATTAGCTTCACTTGTGTCACCTGGTGCTCCCTGTGTATATATACCTCTCTCCCTCACTCTGTCGTGGTTGGATCATTGTGATTGGGTTGGATCATTGTATCTGTTCCTGTGCTCAGCTTAGTGTGTCCTTCGAGTTCTTAGTTTGTACTTAGTAGTTTATTCCTTGTCTGGTTTGTGCCTTGTTCCTGGTCTTGTGAAGAAGTGAGTTTTTTTGTTGTTTTGGCCTTGCACTTTGAGAATAAACCTACCTGCACCAGAAAGAGTCTCATCAGTACTGCATTTGGGTCCTGCCTGCTTCCTGCAATGCTTCCTGCAATGCCCGCACGTGACAAACACAGTATTCCAAGACAAACACTTGCTACCCACAGTTAAATTTGGTGGTGGTTCCATCATGCTGTGGGGCTGTGTGGCCAGTGCAGGTACTGGCAATCTTGTTAAAGTTGAAGATCGCATGGATTCCAGTCAGTATCAGCAAATTCTTGTGAACAATGTTCAAGAATCAGTGACAAAGTTGAAGTTGCGCCACAGCTGGATACAAGACAACGACCCTAAACACCGCTCAAATTCTACCAAAGCATTCATGCAGAGGAACAAGTACAACATTCTGGAATGGCCATCTCAGTCCCCAGACCTGAATATCATTGAAAATCTGTGGTCTGTTTTAAAGTGGGCTGTCCATGCTCAGAAACCATCAAACCTGACTGAACTGGAGATGTTTTGTAAAGAAGAATGGTCAAAAATACCTTCAACCAAAATCCAGACCCTCATTGGAAGCTATAGGAAGCATTTAGAGGCTGTTATTTCTGCAACAGGAGGATCTACTAAATATTGATGTAATTTTTCTGTTGGGGTGCCCAAGTTTATGCACCTGCCTACTTTTGGTTAAGTAATTATTGCACACTTTCTGTAAATCCTATAAACTTCATTTCACTTTTTAAATATCACTGTGTTTGTTTGCTATATGATATATTCAATTGACATTGCTGGTCCGAACAACCAATGATCCATAAAAGAAAATCTTGATCAGGGGTACCCAAACTTTTTCATACCACTGTATGTTTCTCTGTTGACAGTGTTCTTTGGGTTACATGCCTTTACATTTCTTCCTGTGGAACAGATCTAAGACTGTCAAAATTCACAAGATGTCATGGTAATCAATAAGGGAAACATCAAATGATACTTTTGCATATTTTCTGGGCTATTTTGATATTAGTAATTCCATTATTTGCATCAGACACAAATACACCTGCTAGCCTTTTTCTGTTTCAGCAATAGATAGAATAAAGTTCATTTGTGATATTTAGAAATGTTGATTTTTATTAATTAATCATGATTAATCTAGATTATTCCAGAGTTACCCTGTAATTAATCAACAGAATCAGAAAAATTTAACTGTTAGATGCAACAAGACAGCCATGTAATTTTAACAATACTGTCTCAACCCTATAGCACTTCATTACAGTACTTCAATTTGCAAGATGTTATCAATCTAATTATCTGAGAAGTGGCCAGCAAGTCCTTTCTATTACTTAATAAGAGATTTTTTTATTCTTTTCTCCTGACAGGTATGCTGTAACATCAAAAACATCCTCTAGTTGTGAAATCTGTCTGTTAGAAGGTCATGCAGTGGTCATCTCAAGCCTCAAACCACAAGGCCATTACTGGTCAGAGAAAACCCAGTCTACCTCACAGCAATGTATCAGACATGGCCCATAAACCCCGGCTTTATTATCTAGTTTAAACTCAGTTCACTCCGACTGGAACATTCTCTTTCTTCTTGCGTAAGCACTGTCGTATATTAAAGCTGCTCTGACTTTTCCTTGTATAGAACTGTTCCATCCTAAGTGAATGGAATGAGGAGGTTACTAGTCCAACACTCATAATCACAGTTCACTTAAGGGACACACAAGATGTTTTTCTTTCTATGAACTGGAAACCTGTTTGTCCACACCAGGTTAAAAACATGACAGTGACAGACAACTGTGATTCAGAAACTATAAATAAATAATATAAATAAAATTGATTTTAAATAAATCTAGAAGGAACTATTTCTGCACATTTGCCTCAGTGCAATGACAGTCTGGTTTCTAAAACTTCACAATCCTAACACACAGATGTTAGGCATATTTCTGCATTCCAGACTCCTTAGACCACAGTCTCCATAGACAGCAGTAGAGACTTTTTTAGAGAAGAAGAGGCATTAGTGTGTAGACCCTGTAAACTGTTAGTAATCTTGTCACTAGAGAGATACACAAACAAGACTGGTAAACAAGAACAGAATTAACTGTTACTGTAGCTTGCATGTCATGGTTTTAACCCATCTCAAACAACATAATCTTATTGCACAAATCACAGTGAAACCATTTGCTTGGCCTCTGTACTTGGTGGCGGCAAGTTCAGAAAAAGAAAAAGTAAATATTTAACCAGGGTATGGGATTTCAGCTTATCTCCTCAACAGGAGGTCTGTATAGTGGGCTGATCTCTATTGTGTTTGGTTTACTTTAAATGTTGGGAATGTCAATATCAGGTAGCCTGTGTAGCAAGTGTCAAATAGGACAAAAGGAATGCCTTGGAATAAACTCGAATCACTGCTGCAGTGAGAATGCCTCTGATTTACCTGTTAACTGCAGCCTCTGTACAGGTTAATGTTTACTTATTATCTTCTAGGAACATGGACCCAAGGAAAAAAAGTCCAAGTCCATGCAAATTAAGTTTACACATTGCCACTTCACGCCTAATCACGATAACCTAACGTACGAGCTGTGCTTTTGAGAGAAGTACGGGCTCTGTTCCTCGTGGTTGGTTCCACAGTAAACACTCACTGTAATGACAGCCTTGCTGAGGCACAAGGAACCCCTGCAGCCATACTCCCGTTCATCCTCTGATTTGTAGTAGCTCAAAGTGTTGTTTTTCAACACCACCCATCGGTCCTGCCATCCGTGTATGTAGTTTGTCCACTGTAAAGTAAAAGTAAAATTAGTAGAATGTAAACCAGTTTTTTTAAATGGTCAAAAATATTTATAAGTAATAGCCAGTCTAGCTAGCAGAGCTCAACTGTAGAAGTCATGTTGTAATCATAATATTACTAATATGATGTTCACTATAAAAGATTAGCGGCGCTTTGGCCCAGAGGCAATGTCTCTGTCATTGGTGTGGAACCCCAGGGTTCACCTCCTGGGCAAGTTTGAATCCCGGTTAGGGCGGTTGGTACCTTCCAGTGGACTCACCACCCACAGGAAGGTTTAGGGGGGTTGGTACGGTGCAGTGTGATTTGGGTGGTTGTCGTGGACCCGGTAACAGATAAGCGGATGAAAATGGATGGATGGATGGACTATAGAAAATTATTTTAGGTAACATTTATAGATGTCTGTATTTGCTGATATGACCCCATTGCAAACATTTCCTGAGGATGTCTATCGCTGTGGAAATAACAGATTCATAAAAGACCAAAACAGTCACCTAGCTGAATCTTTCTGTTGGTACAAAAGTAATGGTTCGGCTGCACATCTGCAATGTAATTTCTGTTTGTTTCAACATTAGGTAGTTGACATCATAAGAAAACAAACAGAGTTGAAGAGGTTTAAGCTGTCTCCTGGTAATTTTGATGACGGTTTTAGGAAGATTCAGTATAAATCTTACTCAATATATCCAAAATGAACACAGTTTAAGATGTGAAAATGTTTTGTTTTTCACATGCAGACATTGAACAATAAATATTTTTATTATGCTCTTACAAACATTAAGTTAGCTAAACATTTTATTTTGTGGACAAAATTGTTTGCAGAAAACAGCAGAACTTGTACTACAGAGTGCAGACAGCGAGTAGAATGACGCTCCCCAAGCCTACTCTATTGAATTGTTGCTGCATGAGTCAGTATTCTACAAGATGCATTAAGGAATTTGTGTTTACATTTATTTGCTGACTTAATGCATCTGCAAATGGGACGGTTTAGTTTTAGACCGTAAATGTGGCGTACATTAGATTCAAGACATAAAATCTCACATGTACTGTTTCTTTTTAGTTTTTAAACACATTACACAACTGTAAAAATCTGATTTGAGTTGGCCCCAGTGATTTGAAAGCCAAAGCACTTTAGTCTCATAATACACTTCTTGTCTTCTTGTTCTTTATACTCTTTTTATAGTATGTATTACTATTACTGTATTACTATTTTTTGTCCCTAACTCACACAATGACTTTCTTTTGGGCCATGCCTCATTTTACTTAATTTTAACAATAGGAAACTGCTTACTTATCTCAAAACAACACTATTCCTTGTTGTTATTAATATTACATAGCATCTAGAAATATGCTGCTTTCAGTAAGTCCCTTGAATCGTTATAGATTGCAACAGTCTTTGTTGTTAGTGTTCTGTCAAGTGTTTTGAAGTGGTAGTAATATACAATCTATAGTGTAATCTTTGGACTTTATACTTTTTGTAGTCCATAAGATGTGTCAGCAGCAAAGTACATTTATGACTCATGCTCTGAGTAATTTATTGTATACCTCATTAACAAAGGACACGTGTTTTTGAAGCTGATAATAAAATCAATAGTTCTTTTTTAATTTATTTAAGGTATTGCCCAAGTTCTTTTAAACTGAGGATCACATTTTGTGAACACACTATTTCTAAGCTTTTTGGCTATATATCACACTTACATTATCAAAAATGTTGGTTTAGGATTTTCTTGAATAACAGAACTTACTTCAGGTAATATTACCTAAAGTTACTTCAGGTACCATAGGATTTAGGTGAGATTTACTTTACCAAATCTTAAGTACTTCCAACATGGACCCTGATCTTTAGTTTATTCACAAGTCATAGCGTGAAGTTATGATTCAGAACTGCAGAACTAGGGCAGTACCCAGCTTCTTACAGTCTTACTCTTAGATATTTATTGTTATTATTCTTATTTACACACTTCACAGCATTTTACTCCGAACTCAATGGGTCATTGTAGTGGCATTTTTCCTTGCAATAAAGCCCTCTCTCTTCCTTATTGGAAAATCAGCAATATTCCAAAGGTCTCGTTCTTACTTCTAGTGCACCATTACGGTCCTATCATCGTGTAGGAGGTTTTGGGTTTTCAAAACATTTATCATTCTCACCTTACTTAAAACGCCTCCAAACTCAACTGGCTGCACAGATTCCGGCTCCACATCCTCGTCCGAACCGGACGACGAACTCTTCTCAGACATTTAAATCCAAGATTCGAAAGCAACTTGATGCGATTCCCCCTTGTAATCCTAGCCCAACGGTAGCAGCTACTTTTGGTTGTCAGTTAAAACGCGTCGCTGTCTATTCTATTATTTGACCCGCTGACAGATGTTTGCACAGAGCAATAACGACATTAAATAAGGATGAACAAGAAACAACAGCTGAGCAGCGTATAAAATTTTTTGAGACCTAAACCCCAGTCCCTTTCCGTTGATGACAGCTGACTCTACAACTACACTGTGTTTATTTTGCGGGGTTTGTTTTGAAACTGACGTCGAATACCAATGAGGCGAAGCTAGTTAGCGTTAGCTGTCAGACGGCTAACATTAAACAAACATTAAGTTGAAGAGCAACTTGCGACTGCTGTCCTTAGCTCTCTCTTCATATGCTGCTGCCCATAGGAGAGAAACGATACAACAAGAGGCCTGAACGTTTTTCCTGCTGCGACTGAACTTCAGCGTTCAAACGTCGAGCTACGCTCTCTAATAATACCCCTGCTCCAATTCCACACTTGACTCGCTGGATAGCCGTAGCAGCAGGACTCATTCGCCTGCGTCTCTAGATTAAGGTCTCCAAGACAAGAGGAGCTGCAGCCATGCTTTACTGTGTACCTACAGAGGGCGCTGTCAAGTTAACGTAGTTAAAGCCTCACAGGAAGTTTAATTAGTCTGCATTCAAAATAAAGGTATGGTATATACCTCATCATAATGCAATAAAGGATCCTTATTGATTTATAATCAGAAAATATAAGATCGTGTTTTAACTCCACACAAAAACTCACAGAAAATTTTAATTAAAAAAAACGAGTTTCTTATTTTAATTTTGAAACCGGACGAAACTATGGTACATTAAGTAAGATAATATCTACTTTAACAGTTTATTTTATAAAGATAATATTCCTTAATTTAAGGAAAATATGTTTCACCATGTCATTTTAATAACAATTTTAAAATAAAACTTTTCTTGTGTGTGTGTGTGTTTTAATGAAGAAGCGTGTGAAGATTGTGCTAAATGTACAGTATTTGAATATTGATCTTCTACAATGATAACAAAGCCAGGGGCTCAATTGTGAGAATTCCCTTTCCGTCGAGCGACACATTTTTAACTACAGTAGGACAAAATGTACGGCAAAAGTCACATTTTGATACAGAAGAAAATAACTGTAAAACCTATCATGTGCATTCCTACCTCAACGTTCGTTTAAACTCTGTTTTAATATTAATAACGTTTTTTAATATTATTACTGATAGTACAAACTCATCTTGAGGTACTTCATGAATATAATCGATACAATTAAACACAATAATATTTGAATATATTTAAAAAATATGTAAATACTCTAAGAATACTGGTAATGGCCATTTTTCCATTATTCTAACCGTCACTAAACATATGCCCCGCCTATTCCGGTAATGACGTTTTTACGCGGAAGTGTCGGGATACTGTTTCAAAACACATAGAGAAAGGATCCGTATAAAACGAATAGCTTCGTCTAGAACTTGCATTTATTAAAAAAAGTATAAATGGTTGGATTTTTAAAGTTGTACTTCACTATTTTGTTTAGTGTTAATTAAATGTAATGGTTATGGGAAACTTCGCTACGTTATGTTGTAGTTATATCTCCCGATTTTAGAGAACAAGGAGCGTTAATGTTGTCTTTCTCTAGGATGGAGAATGGGGTTACAGCCAACAAAGGAGAGGGCTTCCTCTCCAGAATGGCCCTCAATGACAACAAAGCTGGTATGGAGGGACTTGACAGGGATAAGATCAACAAGATAATCATGGAGACGTCCAAGGTAATCTCAAATAAAAGTCAGTTTTGTATGAATGAACGGTAATTTAACACAAACGTAGTCCTCAAAAACTCAGTTGTGTTAAATTTGAATAAAGACGTGTAAGAAATCATTTAATGTTGTTGATAATATGGTATAGGAGGTCTAGTGTGACTGTATCCAGCCTGTGAAAGTTCTAAATCCCCAGTGTTTTGACGTAATAGTTAAATAATCAGGCAACTTGATTTTGTCTTTATATCTGACCCGAAGAATCGCAAACTCTTTTCCTTAATCGTCCTTTTTCTGTCAGGGTTCAAGGTTTTATGAGAATGAGCTGAAGAAGGAGCAGCAGGTGAACCAGCGCATTGAAAAAATGATGCTGCAGAAGGCACAGATCACAGAGCAACAGTTACAGAAGGCACAAGTTCAGGTAAAATGTCCTAACCTTAACTGATCTCTGTGGTCTTTTTTGCTATTGCGGGCAGATATTTTTGTGATGTTTGTCTTGATCAATTTGTTCTGCATAGGTAGAGAAAATGGCTTTGGCGCAGGAGAGGAGTCGAGATTTATCCCGTGTGATTGTACATGTGGACATGGATGCTTTCTATGCAGCTGTGGAGATGAGGGACCGTCCTGAACTTAAAGACCAGCCAATGGCTGTTGGCTCCATGAGTATGTTGGTAAGTATTTTCACTCTGTTAACTTATTTGTGATAACTTTGACAGTCAATTACACCATGCTTAAAAGTACATGTAAAAGTGCAACATGAAATAGAAAAGACATAAATAGCAGTGAAAACCTTTTAGATTGCTGTCTTAAAGTACATTCCTCAAGTCACAGAAAACATTAATTTGAAGTTTTGTCAAACAGATAAACAGATGCTGATCAAGGACAGTGTTACTTAAGCATGTCTCTCACGATGAGTTTATTTTTTATCTCTTGAATCTTGTATCAAAATCCAGTGCTTGTTTTGATACAAAATGTTTTAAAAAAGTCAAATAAATAAAGAGAGAATAAATATCTCATCCTTTTGGGCAATGCTTTATTTGGTCTAAACCTTTTTTTAGTCAACATCCAACTACCATGCCAGGAAATTTGGAGTTAGAGCTGCAATGCCTGGTTTCATTGGGAAAAAGCTATGTCCCAACTTGGTTATTGTTCCACCAAACTTTGAAAAATACAGAGTTGTGAGTAATGAGGTAAGACGAAACCCAACTTTACATGATATATTTTCAGTCCAATTATGACCGTTTAGCAGATGCACATAACTATATGTCTCTCCCTCTGTTAGATCAGGGAAATTTTTGCAGACTACGACCCGCATTTTCAGCCAATGAGCTTGGATGAAGCCTACCTGGATTTTACTGACCATGTGCAGCAGAGGCAGAGCTGGCCAGAGTCTTCTCGGACACATCGGTTTCATATAAGCATCCCTACCAGTGCGACTTTATTATTAAAAAATACAGCAGGATTAGTTTTTGTGTCAGTGCACTAGTAGTGCATAGCTATATTATATATATGAAATATATATTTATATATTCTGTATGTATATTAGCTATAGGTGAAGAGCAAACTGAGATTCCCCAAGTATCTGTGCCTGAGGAGAATGACCTTTCTCCAGTCCTGTTTGATGACAGCCCCAGCTTCTGTCCCAGCTTCTCCAGCTCCAATGGGTTTACTATCATTGATGCTGCTGCTGCTGCTGCATCTGAGGTGTTTGGAACATCTATTGAGGAAGCTGTGAGAGAAATGCGCTTTCGCATTGAGCAGAAGACCATGTTGACAGCCAGTGCAGGTAAGAACAAAACTCTGGAGTGACCTACAAGACTTGTCTCTAAGTATCTGTACAACAACTATAATGCACATTTGATTACATTACTCATTCTCCTAGGAATTGCTCCCAACATGATGCTTGCCAAGGTGTGCAGTGACAAGAACAAGCCCAATGGCCAATACAGACTTGCCTCCACCAGAGACGCTGTCATAGACTTCATCCAGTATCTTCCAGTTCGCAAAGTATTGTTCACTCAGGCTTGAGCATAATCATAACCATGATAGAAATATGTTTAAGAGTCAACGCGCATAATCCTTATTGGTAGTGATTTCTGTCCGTGTGTGCGTGCGTTTCTGTAGGTTTCTGGCATCGGGAAGGTGAGTGAGAGGATGCTGAGCGCTCTGGGCGTCAGCAGTTGTTCTGACCTCAGACAGCAGATGGCACTGCTGTCCCTGCTCTTCTCAGAAACAGCCTGGCATCATTTGATGCAGGTGTCATTGGGTCTGGGCTCCACGTATATATCAAAGTAAGGTTTAATACAACTCAACAATGATTAGATAACAGGTCAGACAGAGGGATGATTCCCCCCTTCTTTGTTTTTTTACAGACATGAAGAAAGGAAAAGCATGAGCACAGAAAGGTTTGTTTCAATACAATTAATTATACAATATTATAATTAAGTTTTAATCCTGCACCCACAGCTCAACTCCAACTTTCGTTTTGTAAAACCTGTATTATTGCAGGACATTTAAAGAACTGGACAAGGCAGAGGAACACTTTTCACTGTGCAGGCAACTCTGTGAGGATTTAGCAGAGGACCTGAAGAAAGAGAACCTGAAGGTAAATGAAGAGAGACTGTAACTTATAACTCATGTAACTCATTAAGTCACATACTGTGTGCATACCGGACATTTTGAACAAGCAGCTTGGAATTAGAAACTCAAACAACATTTGTTGTGAGTCACTGACCTGGTTACATCTACATCACAGCATCTGTTTTTATCAGACTGCAGCTCAACTGGAGCTCGAGATGAGTGTCAGGCATCTTAGATTTAAAAAGAGTGGCTCAGTGATAACACAGGCAAACAGACGTAGACAAAATGTGAACAGACGTGAACTACACAAAAAATCTTACTCGGCAACCACATCTCTACACCAGATCTCATACGGCTACTTCAATTAAAAAAATAATGGTTTGACCTAGAAAGACCATCAACCCCTGCCTGGTTTGCAGTGCTGCCTTGATAGCACAAGGAAATGGAGAACCATTAAGGACTCAGCAGGGGTTCTATCAGGATTGAAAGTGTCTCTCCAGTCTAGAAGATGATCACATTACTTTTATACACTCAGCGGATGGTTACCTATAAATCAGTCAATGATGCATCAGATTTTATATAAATAATGTTTCTTTAAAAGTTTTCACGCTAAAATTAGTAATCCACTCAAAATTCTTTATGAGGGTGAAGGGTGAATAATAAACTCCAAAAAAATTAGACTTAGCTATTTCTTCTGATAAAGTGCTCTAAGTATACATACAGACAAATTATGGGTCAGTGGAAAGATGGAATGACATCAGCAGTGTCAGAAAGTGTAAAAAAAAACTCCTAGAGATTGCGTTTACATTTGTGTCTTTTATTCCATTTGCCTCCCTGAAGTACCATTGGAGCTTCTGTTAAAAATGCATTACAGTTTTTATTCCCATTTAAGTGTATCTTTTTTTCTATTTCCATGAAGGGTAAAACAGTGACCCTTAAACTGAAGAACGTGAACTTTGAGGTGAAAACCAGAGCCCTGACATTGCCTTGTGCTGTTGCTACAGTGGATGAGATTTTTGCCGTTGCTAAGGACCTACTGAAAACAGAAATAGAACATGAAAGGCCCCAGCCGCTCAGACTGAGGCTCATGGGTAATTGAATCTAACAATTTATCTAACACATCAATCAACATAACCAGGTTGAATTACATCTAAATGTTCTTTGACTCCCCTAATCCAGAATTAATAACAATATGAACATTTATCTTAAACCTTTCACTGGATGTATTACTTATTGCTTGCAGGTGTTCGGATTTCTGCTTTTGTCAGTCCAGATGATAAAACGCATCATCAGAAAAGCATTGTTGGCTTCCTGCAGCCAGGCAAGCCTGGCCAATGTGGTGGCTCTGTCAAAGTCTGTAATCTTTCTGTGCCAGAACCAAGTGCTGCTGTTGTACCACCATCACAGAAAATCCAAAATCAAGTTCCCTGGCTGAAGAAGCAGAAGAGAGAAGAAGTAGGTCAGGCTGGTGAGGAACCCCAGCATTCTTTCTTTCAACAGGCTCATGCTAAAAGGTTCCACCTCCAAGCAAAAACACAAGTGGAAAAAGAGAGTTCATCTGTATTTACAGCCACAGCGTCTCAGTCAGAACCAAGTGTGGAGTCTGAGAGCATAGTTTCTGATCTTCCAGACAAATATTTAGTTTTACAGGCAGAAGCCACTGCATCCACATCACACTGCACCAGGACCATGAGCAGGACACAGAGTCTCACCTGTCCTGTGTGTTTCGGTGAGGTGGAGACGACAGATTTGAATGTGTTTAACACACATATAGACCAGTGCCTCAGTGAATGTTCAAAGACACCAAACCAAAACACAGAAACCGATTCAGAGTCAGATCCGGACTTGGAGAATAAACAAACGAATAAAAAGAGAGAATTCAAGGAGGAGATGGAGGTGAAAAAAGAAAATTCAATTCAAACGAGTTCAGTAATAACTGACAAATCTGACACCTCAAAACAGATTGAAACATGTGGCGAAAACAGTCCCTCCTACGTCTGTCCAGTGTGTCAGCTGACTCAGGACACGGACGACCTCAATGTTTTTAATCGACATGTTGATCTCTGCCTGAATAAGGAAGTGATCCATGAGCTGCGAGGACAATCCTCATCTCCCATAATTCTACCTAAGACAATGGGTGAGTGTGATTGCATCAGTATAATTGTAAGCCTATTGTTGTTTTTAATGTGTTTAGTCATTGATTCTGCTATGTACTGCACAGTGTGAGGATTTGATATTAATTATTACAAAGAAAATCTTTTTTTTTATCACCTCCATGTTTTGTTGTGCTCTTGGAAAAGGATGAAATTACTTTCTAACCTTTCATTTCCTACAATGAAGTGAAAATCTGGATATCTGGATCCCTCATAAACCATGTCACACCTGTTTTCAACCGCAAGGTGCTGCTGTTATTGTACTGATGTCAGGTTTTTTGATGTGATAAGATTCTGTCTGTCTTTGTCACAGATAAAGGCCGTCTTTTGACAAAGGAAACAAGTAAAGGCAAAAGCAAGAGGTGAGAACCAAAGACTGTCATTCTTTATCCGGTAATATTTTTTGTATATTCTGAGTTTATTTTTGTGAGGTAATATGGTGAAAATTCTTCAAATATTGTGAAATATTCAAACTCATGGAGCTTCTAGTAAGTAGAATATCCACACATTCACACCTTATTCTGTATGAACTTGCAGTTACGATTACGATTTTACTGTTACTTGATATACACCTCTTTTTGTTAAAAAGCTCTTGCGGGAGCACCTGTCAAACCAACCATTTCCTTATCTGAGATCAATAAAATATTTCTAATTCTGTTTGCATCATTTTTTTGTCATGATGGCTTCTCCATCTGCCCTGTCGACGAAAGATGAATTGTTGTGTGACTGTTAAATAAAAACATTGTTTTTATGTGTTTTAGACAGGGCTGTCCCACATCACCACCTTCTAAGAAGGCTAAAGGTTTGGGTCCAGTCACCACCATCGACACTTTCTTCAGAGCAACGTCGTCATCTGGACCACTTGAAAAAGTTCACCTCAGAAAATGAACCATCAACTCTCTTTATGGCCTCAGCTGGTAGGGTTTCATTTCTGTTGTGACACATGCTCTCTTCACACAAAGCATTATTTAATTTTATTTATTGTATACGTATAATTTTTTTATAATTTTTTTTCTAATCGTGAAGTTGCTGAGGCAGTAATTAACTAAGTCTGTGTGAAGCACACACAAAAACGTTGTACATCATTGCCAATATTGTTACTTTGACTTTCCTCTAATTCAGTTATTAATAAAACTAATTTTGTCATCATAATTTTGTCATTATTATCTTGGTTCACCATTGACATGATAATAATTTTTTTTTACCTCTATGAATTGTAAATGGCCTAAATGAAGAATAACTGAAGAGAATCATATTCAGAATCAAAACATATTGCAATAAACTTATGATTGTTAGGTTTCATCTGTTGTCTGTTCATTTTTTTATGTATTACTATGTGATGAGCGTGTTTAGAAAGTAAAGGAAAGAAATTTAAAATGACGGCAACATTTTCCGTAAAACATCTTTAAGTAACAGCTTTTGGAAAGTGTGGGTTTAGGGACACTGGGAAAAAGTTCAACTGCTGTTACTGCAGCCCTGCACCAGTCTGTCTGTGAACACCACACTGCATTTTGGGGATTTAATGGAAATGTGTAAAATAAATGAAAGGGAAACATCTGCATTGACATTTTTTATGCTAGCCTAAATGCTAAACTACGTAGGAACATGATAGTGATACATAACTATGAAGTGAGTCAAGTAGAGTTTACTCTTCTAGTTTCAGTCTTTAAGGGCGTGAGCAAAGTAAATATGTAAATATGAATTAGCCCTGTGGCTGAAGCAAACAGTTACGAGTTCCATTTTATGACTGGTTCAGTTTGGTGTCTTTCACAGCAGGAACTGAGACAAATTGAGAAGCTAAACATTAATTTGTACTTCCTTTTGCTGGATTTGTTTTGAAGAAGGAGAGACAATTACACCAGACAAACACTTTGCTTACACAGGAACTAAAATGGAAAGAGCTCTGGCGTTTAGGGACATGTTAAAGAAGCAGATTAAGGAAAAGGAGAGTTTGGATCCCAGGAACTGGATGAAAGATGAGACCCTAAGAGGATTTGCTGATTTCATAAAACACAAACACAGCGATAAGGACTTCGACAACAGTTATGACATCAAGGAAATGCGTGAGTATGGCAGGGACAAGCAGCATAAGGAGGAAAGGTGACACGGCACAGTAAAAGGAATTTTAAAAGAGCAAAAATTATTTCTGTTTCTTTGAGAATAGTTTTCTTTTTCATTTGTGTTATGAAACTGTGGCCTGGTGTCTTTATCAGTGCTGGATGCAGAGAAGCAGTTCATTGAAGCAGCTAAGAGGAACGATGTGGAGACCATGAGAAGTGTTGGAAGAGGAGTCAACGCTAACGCAAAGAATGTGGTGGGTTCACAAAGGATGCACAAAACTAACACTGCATTAATCCGTGTTGTCTCCTGTCTATACTAAGGATTCTGTTGGTCTGTGTTCCAGCACAACAGAACCGCCCTTCACTATGCAGTGGCTGGAAAGAACAAAGAAGCTGTTCAACTTCTTCTACAGCGTAGGGTTAAAGTGGACCAAAAGGACAAGGTGAGAAGTTTCTGCAGTGTCTGAAGACTAGCAAACAGAACAAAAGAACAATAAGTGTCAAAATTCTTTGGTCCAGTTATCAAAATACATACTCTTTTTAATATGAAATAAAATATTAAACATTTAAACAATAGGAGTCTGTGTTTCAGGTGAAAACACAAAGGTGCATTTTCTTAGTGTGTCATATAATTGAAGATACAGGGAAAACACTGTAAATTAATGGAAAGATAATATATAATTTCACACAAGATTTGGTACAATTGTACAATGTTCAAAATTATTTCTACAGTTTTCTCAAGTTCTCGGAGGTATATGATCAGGCTTCTATTGTCAAATGTAGAAATGTATGTTTTGTTTAAAGAATTTTAAAGTGCTTGCCTTACACTTATAATACAAATAACATGGGAAGTTTTTTCATTACGAAGTTCAAGTTTAGAATTATTTTGGTACAGTGTACAGTGTAGGGAGCCTCACACACTATGATGCCCTGAAACAAGCTTGTATTTGATTTATTCTTAAAATAAGTTTATTTACCTTCTAATACTTGTATTTCTAATATTAGTTAAGCCATTTTTTCTCATTCATAGTGACAATGAAAGTGCCCCCTGTTTTAAGAACCTTCAGATAGCCCAGTAAGAAATGAATGAGGAATGTAATACAAAAATATAATTTTGAATTTATGAGTAAGATCCTGTTCTTAACACTCTTTTTCAACATAAATATAATTTTTCAACAAAAATATAATTTTGAATTTATGAATAAGATCCTGTTTTAACAACATATGTTAAAATGTTTTAATTTCATGCATACATATACAGTATATTCATAAACTTTTTTTGTGTTTTCTGTCTGACAGTACGGTGTGGCACCCATTCATTTAGCTGCTTGGTTCGGAAGTTTGGATATCTTAAAGCTATTAGTGAAGGCTGGGGCTGAACAGAAGGTTGAGAATGAGGTAAGAAGGCAACAGAGTATCTCTATTCTCTAGGCAATGACCATAAAAAAAAAAACACTTTTTTTGTCACAGGATGGCTTGAACATCATGCACTGTGCTGCGATCAACAACCACACTGAAATAGTGGAGTATATTGTAGATGACCTACAGATGAAAGAACTAGACAAAGAAGATCAGGTATGACTGTTTAAGAAAGAGAATTATTTTTTTCTACAGAGATTAAGAGGTATTATTAAATCCTTCTCATTGTTGAGCTGTCAAATTTAATTTAATAGGAGTTTTTCAATCCTCCATGATAAAGAATTTTTAAATCAGCACAAATATTATTTAAACCAATTTATTTACAGGAAATAGAATTTTTTTTTAATTTCAGTCGTTAGACGATGCAAATAAGCAGGTTGTGACATAGAACCAAAAACCTTCTCCAGAATTCTACAAAGAAGGGAATAGTTTAGACCTACATTGAGGATACATTCTGTTGAAAAATTGCTTTTTTTCTTAGAAACTTTTGACACACTCCCATTGATAACACATGACTACAGCCTGCCTTTTCTGGGATATTCACGGAAAACCATCTGTCTCCATCTCTATTCCATTCATGTCAATCTTATGTGAAATAATATAGAAGTAGGAAACTGGACTAAAAGTTCCAGTTGTCTTCAAAAGATACTCCATAGCAGATCTCACTACCATTTTTTACTCTCCTGTTTAACATCTCTACTGCTATTCTTTATATTAGTTACATCTACTAAAGTACTGCACATGTAATTGATTTCACAAAGAGCCCTTTCCTGTGTTTTAGTTAGGGAACCAGGCCTTTGCCTTGGCAGCACAGCACGGTTGCGTTGATATGTTGGAGATGCTCATGAATCCTTATGAAATGGCCACCATGGCGCCAAACAAGGTGAGTGCGTGCTTCAAGGAGTCCTGCAATTTTATTAACATACACAATATCATTATTGTTTACTGATGTGACACCTGGGATGGAGAATTCATAACGAATCCTTTATTCTTGTTTTTGTGCTCTTATATTTTGAGCATGTGAGGAGAAAAAACAAAAAAACAGAAAACAAACCTATCCTAGCTTTGTAACAGCCAGCCTGCATTTTCTCACAATAAAAGGAACAAGTCTGTATATTTGGGACCATTGTTTTTTCTTACTGACAGTTCTTTTTAAAAGAATTGTGCTGTGTATTAAAATAACTAGATACAGCCTTCAAATACCACAATGAAGTACAAAGACTCAAAGGCAAACATTGTTTGATGCATTATTCCCTTCCTTTTTGCTAGAGAGGAGACATACCTCTGCACTTAGCAGCCAAGAATGGCCACACGGACGCCGTCCATCTGCTGCTGCTCTGCTTTGATGCTAGGGACGAAGTCAATATGGTAGAAAACTAGAGACAAACATCCTTTCTCTCTTCATCACAGCCTTGTCTGTAACTGTATGTGTTTTTGTGTGTTCAGTGACTGGATCAAAGCCTCTTTGGGATTAATTAATGAATCATTAAACTGTGTTTTAATACAAAAACAGTATAACCTGTTTTGTCTCTGAGGATAGAGTTAAAGTAAGTTAATTTAATTAAAATTGTGTTGTAAGAAGTGTGAAGTCATGGATGTTTTCTCAGGATTATTCAGGTATAGGTCTGATCTAATTACTGCACCACCCCAGTATTTTATTTATTGTCTGTTTGGCAGGAGGGTGAGACCGCTCTGTACCTGGCTGCTGACAATGGCCATGAGGAATGTATGGTGACCCTGCTGGAAGCTGGCTGTGACCCCAACATCCTCACATCGGTATAATTTGACACTGGGCTGATGGTAGACAATGGAGGAAAAGATCATATCTGAGAGACAAACCACAGTTTATTTCAGAGAAATCTGAACATTTTGAACTCCATGGCAGAGTAATGTTAGGTTCATAAGTAATCAGAAATGAGAAATACTTCAAAAGTACAATGTACAAACATTTCATATGATTTTTCTTCGATAGAAATGCATTCTAATATTGATAGAGATAATTTATATTTACATTTCTGTCCCTGTTAGTAACAATACTATAGCACATATGGTCATATTACACATTAACAGCACTGAACTCCATCTCTTTGTTTTAGTCCAGCTGCACTGCCCTGCATTCAGTGTCAGAGAGAGGAGACAACTCTTTTGTCCAAATCCTTTTGGACTTCAAGGCTAACACTGACTTTCAGAATCAGGTAAGTATAGGAGCCAGCAGTGCACACCATCAGTAATGTACCCTTACAATAAACACACCAACTATGCTGCCTTTACACACTCATGTGTTACATCTATCATAGTGTTTTTTGGAAATAAAGTCATACTGTGTAAAACTAGGTCCCCAACCTCCACTCCTCCCCTTGGTGATGGGTTAAAAGTAGAGGCTGTTTCGTTGTATCCCCGTGGTACAATGACAATAGAGACCATAAAATAAATTAGGTTCGGTGGATGATTTAGAATGAACCTCAACAGTGCTGAATTGGGGGACTCAACTTTAAATATTATTGTTGATATTCTCTATTTATTCTGATCATTTATCTGAGTAAAAGTTTCTGCTCACCTCAGCTGCCGGTTGGTTCACAAACTGCTCTATTTCCCTCCGTCGCCCTTGCATAACTATAGTCACGCAACAAATATTATTGTCAGTAACTATAACAGTATTTAAACAATGTAAAAAAATAACAGTATTTTAACACTATTGTTCCCATCGTTGGAAAAATCAAGTATAAGCAACACTGTGGTTTATGCTGCATTTAAGTACAGTATATTGCATTTGCAACAAATCTGAATCTATGCATTGTTTAATTTCTGTGGAATATAGTTTAGACTAATTTTACCATTTGATCTTCTATCCTTGTGCACTTTAACATGATTTTGCTTTTGGCTTGTTTTCAGCATATGGAAACTCCTCTCCACCTGGCTGTGAAAAACAGTCACATCCCGGTCATCCATTCACTACTGCAGGCTGGGTGTAACATCAATCTCACCAATAAGGTTAGACTGCCACTGCTATGATATCGTAGAACACTGTTACCTAAAAAGAACCACTGTTATGATAATAATGCTGCTCTGCACTACGAATGGTCAGAGGTCCCAGACTGTGTTACATCTTGCTGCAGAGCTGGCCAAAATAGAAGTTGTGGACATGCTTCTTAAAAATGGACTAGATTTCACAATAAAAGATAAGGTAAACAGAAAAAGGTGTTTTTTTAAAATCCTTTATGTCCACCTTTTCTGTATTTTTAACTCTAAACAGAATCCCACTCAGTCACCAAAAATCTTGGTGTGTATTTATGTGTTTTCAGCAGGGAAAGACTGCTCTGGGTGTTGCAGCCAGAGCCGATGAGGTGATCATCGTGGACATGATTATTAAAGCAGAGAGATACTACAGCTGGAGAAAGGTGAGAGACAGTAAAATGAACACATGGAGTGTTTACTCTTCGTACTTGTACTGAGGAGAGTTAACACCAGTTCTTAATTTGTAAAGTGGGAAGGACCGGAGCAGAGTTCAGGGTGGTTCCAAAGACTTTTTTTTTTCCATTGTGACAGAGGTGGCAGAGGTGGATGATCCTGGTCTGGCAGGATCCAGCTCAAATTAAACCCTGGTTAGGGAATTGCAGGAAATATTTAATAAGTGTTCTGAGTGTACTGTAGAGATTCTGAGGATAAAGTTGAACATTTCAGAACAAAGAAAGACATCTCAGATTTTTGTGTTTGGAAAAGCTTTGAATTATTCATCTATAGCAGGACTCAAATGTTATGAGATTAAAGATAAAGAAAAAAAAAAAACTTTAACAACATTTTAAGAATAAAAAAAAATCTAGTCCAAATTCTGACATATTTCTTAAATTTCAGAGACCAAAGCCAGTTCTTTATCAAATGTCAACAACCATTCTCCATGTGTTATAGAACTGTGACAGCTACATAAAAGGTCAAGTGTCAAACTTTTATAAGGATTGTTTGCAAAACGTTAAAATGTTGTCTTTAAGTGTTTTGTATAAAATAAATACTAATAAAACACAATTCATTGGTTTATGCATCATTAAAACCATGAGAACAAGGACACAGTTTAACAACCCTGTTTGTTGCAGTCCTTGAGTAATTGTTTTACACTGGACCTTCACTTTCAAAGCAGCCAGTTTCCCTACCCTACTTAAATATGGCCTTCATAATCTTAATCATGTTCCAGTGTCATCTTTATAATTACCTCATGTGTACTTGTGTTTTCTGAGGCTGGTGGCCTTTATCAGCCTGCTGATATAATTCAATTGCCCTTTTAAGGACAACCCTGAGCATAATGAGCTCATTTACACTGAGCATCCGCTCACATTTAAACTGGACCACCGTAATGACACCAGGCATCTCAGAGCCACCGCCTGGCGTCTGGCGTATGAGCTCCTGAAACCAAGAGGCTGGAAGAAACTAGCACTACACTGGAACTTTACCACAGAGCAAATTGCTGCCATCGAAGAGCAGTGGACAGGTGCCGTAACTGCAGGGCATTTATTTAGAGACCAAAATATTCTGGAATTTAACAGAATATTTTTATCATCTGTTTACAGGTCAACACAGCTACAGAGAGCATGGCAACAGAATGCTGCTTATCTGGCTCCATGGTGAGGATCTGGCTCAGAGCAGTCCCTTGAAAGAACTCTACAATGCTCTCATCTCCACAGGACACACAAGAGCTGGAGGTACATGAAGTTAAAACAGTGGTGTAAAACATGTCAGGAATTAGCATGGAGTTAGGACAATTGCCCTGAAAATTCATGAGATAGAGGCTTCAATGCCATTCCGCAGTTTATTATTTCTTTTAGAGGCAATGCTCTTTTGTATGGCCTTAAGCAAACATTATTGTGATTATATACAATTCTGTGACAATTGTGGTCCACCACTACACACATTCTTCAATTGCATTTTGCAGATAAAATACGAATGGACAGACAGCACATCATGCGGAGCTGCAGCATCTCCTGATGATAACCCATGTCACCTACACACCGTTTTTGTACACTTGACTGCTCTGTACTGAACTTTTTGAATAAAAATCATTTATTTTTAAAATAAAACTGCGTCGAATAGGTGACATAGATTGGTTTTAGTGAAGGTATATATGTGGACAACAGTTTCTGTAAAAAAGAAACAAAAATTACACAAACACATTAAGTATGTAGTTTTACACATGAAGAAGAAGAAATCTGTGCATACAAATTTATTGCTATCACTTAATCTTTAGTAACAACCTTTAACATTTGATCTAAAAGCCAATGAGTCTAAGTCTATGTTTCTGAGATTAATCATTATATTTGGAGAACAATTTGAAAGGAAACAAATGGAGATATAAAAATAATCTTAAATATTCCTGTTTGGTATGCCCATAATTATACCACACTTCATTACAAGACAGTTTAAATACTGAAATGAATAAATTTATACATCACTACCACACGGTTGTATTATAATTGGTAAAAAATGCAGATGGTGTGAATCATGATATTCATGAAATGCATTTCCAACTGCAGTGCCACTGCTGGCCGGCAGGACCTGGCTAGCAAAGATGTGCATTTAAACTTTGGCTGCTTTTCTCATTAAATATAGTCAAACTCAGGACTTTGACATTCCAACCCCCACTGTATAGTTTAGACGTATCATTTATATTTCAGCTAAACAAAATGTTGGAGATACAATTAGCTTAAGGTTAGAATGGGCTACCTCTGACTGCTGGTTCAAAACTTCAGCCCATGCTACCTTTAACTGACACTTAACTGTATTAAGATCTGCAAAATCTAAGCTTTGAAGACTGTAATATCAGCACTGTGGATGTTAGGTTTCTGTTTATTTTATTTAAACGCTATCACAACAAAGCCCAATGTGCAAATACAGGCATATAATTCCAAGGTATGATTTTCTGTTTTGTTTATTTTTATATCACAGAGCCTGAAAAGCAGGATATTAGTTTGATAAAAAATTGACCTGAAACTATTGTTGTTGCATATAAAATTCTAAATCTAAACCTTTAATAAAAATGCAGCACCACTCTATTTGGGCTAAATTTGACATCAGTCGACCACTTTGATGGAGTGGACTTGACACGTGTGGGTTTGTGTTTTGGAAGAACCTCTGCCTCTGGTGGAGCTGTGGCTCTGCTGGAAGGATCGTGGAAACTTGGCAGCTGTGGCCTGACTGATAGTGAGCTGCAGGAGTCAAACGGAAACAACAGAAGAGTTGGTTTGATTTTTTTAACCTTCTAGTATGAGACAGTAACTGTTAGCAGTCAAGCACAAAGTATTTATCTACCTGAGTAACAGGGTGATGACGCTCGATGATGACAGAGCTCATAGGCGGGGCCACAGTCATCATCTGAAACTTGCCAGCTGCAGCCTTGTTCACATCAGGTAGCCCAGTAACACGAGCTGTTACAGTCTTTGTGGGTTTTTGGTGACTGGATGTCACAATGCGACCATTGAACTTAACAAAAAAAGGGTCATTGTTAATCCACACAGTGAAGGAGTTACTTTTGCATGTGTAATACTAACCTGTTTGTGCGAACTTGATGAGTTGTGTGCGAATGGTGCAGAAGGATGAACTTCAGCTCTGGGCATAAGATCACTGGGGCCCATCTGGGTGGGAGAGAACAGCAGTGTGAGTATTTGGAATCAACAGGGCAGCAGAGAATAGGAAATAACACAAAAACGACCTTCAGGTATACAAAAAAGCTAGAATGGATTATTTCCTTTTGAAGGAAAGTGCACTACTTGTTATTGTGACACAGCACACCACTGCACACAACCAAATGTGACCTCTGTTTTTAACCCATCACCAAAGTGAACAGTGGGCAGCTTTCAAGCACCCAGGGAGCAGTGAGTGGGGACGGTGCCATGCTCAGTACCTTACCTTAGTGGTGACTTGGCAGCTGGTGGACTCTAACCTGAAGCCTTCCAGACCCAGGTCAGCTTCCTTAACCACTAAGCCACCGCTGCCCCTTTTGATGGCGACTTACCATACCCTCTGCTTCACCATGGTCTGCGTGGTCAAAGTGGAATGGACTAAACCGTGCGAAGGAGAACGGTGGAGGCGGAGCCATCGCAGCAGAGCCAGGCTCATCCTGAGGCTGCAAAGGATCTAGATAAAGATGGAAATTTCTGCTTTGCAAGACTTTCAGGAACAGAGATTGGATAGACATTGTCACACACAAAATCGAATCACTGAATAAAACAAAGTTTAACCAATTGAACTGGATGCTCTGAATTTTCATTGTGTATCAGTTTAAAACTCTTGATGCAGGCATTTTTAGAAGAAAAAAGATGCATGCCTCACACTTTCTTCTAGTGGAAAAGCATTCATTTTTTCCACTGATATGATTGCATTTTATAAGATATTTGCGTTGTCAGCCATTAGGTACAAAAAAGACAAAGTCACTAATAGAGTATAACTCACTGCTGGCATATTTTCCATTCAGACTTTAAATGTCCTCGACGATGATTTAGGCCCACATAGATTTACTCAAGTCCCTTTGATTCTGAATTTTGAATTAGAAATTTTTATATTTTGGGAGGTCAAATTCAAAATTTAAAACTAGAAAAAACTTTAGTCTTAAAAATTAGTCTTAGCTACACCGTTCATTGATTTCAATGAGCTTTCAAAACAACTTGACTCAGTTAAATTACATTGCCACCTAGTCATGTATAGTGGTATTAATGCCACATTAACAGTTAACATTACGTTGGTATGGTGTAAGAATGTGGTGGTGGTGTTATAGAGTGAATTACTAGGTGTTTTCAAAAGAAAAATAACAAATTTAGTTTTTTGAACAAATAACGAAAATTAATATTTACCAGTAAATATTTTCCTCACACAGCAAGGACAACATGAATTTTTGGCAAAACTGTTAATAATGTGGTGCAACTTAGATAAATCAAAATGACTAACTTTAAAAACCCTAAGGTTGGAATATTTTCTGCCTTTACACAAAAAACATTTATTGATCTAAAATTATGGTGTATCTTAATTCAATTAAATGTGTTTTGCCAGGTTTTGTCCCCTGCTGTCAGACATACTACGGAAAAGGTGTTTCTTCTGTTTTGTCCACATATGAACTTTTGACCCATTAACCATATCAGGCCAGGCTACCAACATCTCATGTCATCAAGTGGGGTCTGAGATGATGGGGTCTCTCTTGTACAGATTGTCATATATTTAATATCTACAGGAAGGTTTGTATTCAATCAGTGACAGACCATGTTGGTCATGCAGTGGAGGTTGTTCTGGCCGTCCGTCGTGGAACATGTTGAGAGCCTCCATGTTTAGTGCACATACACCCCTCATGAAGGCCTTCTTCATGGACTCTTCATATCGCTCACGGTCTAGCCGCAGCCTCTGAATCTCTGTCTGAGCCTGCTCTAAAGCATCACAACGCTGTGGAGACGAGAAACACGATCATAGTTTTTCCAGTTTTTTTTTAAACAACCGTTGTTGTTGTTTAAAAACAGTCTTTATAATGCAGAATATACTGCAATGCTATTCTTAGATAGCCTATGTTCAGGTCTATTTACCTCTTCCAGCTTGGCTTCGTACTGTGTGGACAGCTGAGCACAAACCTCCTCAGCTCTTGCACGACAGGCTCGCTCCACCTTGACCTTCCAGTGTTTCTGGATCAGTGACTGCCAGCCTGACCAAACCTTTTTCTTCAGCTGCAGGTTGTAATGCTGATCTGCGACTCGAGCAGCGTGAGCCTGGTGGAGAACAACAAGACCATCTAACAAACCATCAACGTATTCCCATGGAGACATTTGAAACCATAACCCAATATTCTGAACGCGCTGTTTTCCTGTGTCACACTTAAGCACTGAAATTAACTTAGTTTTCCCAATCAGGAGAATCGAATAAACACAGCATCACTCAAGAACATGTGAGATTCAAGGCCTTGTTTGTTAGACAGCCTTTATCAACAGCAAGTGTGCAAATTTCATCTAAAGTTTATTAGCAAAGTAGACTTTTCCTCAATGGCACACTCTGATATAAATTCAAACTTCCTTTATAAGGTTACAAACAGTTTTAAAAGCTGATGGCGACACCACAAAGTCACCTGTGTACCTCTTCTTTGGCCTCACAGTGCTGGACCCTCCAGTGAGTGAAGGACTTCATCTGTTCAAGCTTTGTTTTCTGCCTGTCCATCATCTTGGTCAACTTAGAAATCACCTGGAAACAGAAGAAATGCAAACAATAGACTTATTTGACCAAACGGTAGACAAAGACTGTGTTTCACCTCTATATTGTAGTAAGAATTGAAGCATCAAAGATTAAAATTCACCTCATCTTTCCTCTGGTTTGAAATCTCATAGGTGTGAAGAAGCCCCTTGAGACCCTCCAGCTCTGCCTTCAGAGCAGCTGCTTTGGCTGCACATCTCTCATTCTCTTTCCTTATCTCCGACTTGTGCTGCTCAATAAAAGCCAGCTTCCATTTTCGGAGCTCGTTCAGCACATTTGACTAATTAGAGAAGGAAGACAGGGCAGTTGTTATGTCAACATAGACATAAGTACATGCTGTAGATTCAATGATCATTTTAAAATAAACGGACAGACAGCAAATACAAATTGTGAACTTGGCAGCTTTTATCTCTTACTGTGGGTCAAATGGGCAGCATATTCAAAAGTTTAACCGACTTATTTGAAACCAACAATTTCAACAGGGTCCTGTGACTTGAGCAGCTCTAAATACTGCCAGATTGAAAACACAGTTTGTGTAAGAGGGGAAAAAATAATTTATGGGGATTTCCAACTATAGCCTGACTCAAAACTCAATTTGGATTGATGTGCAGTTACATGTCTACTAATAGAGTCAGAGCTGTTGCAGGGTTCCGACTTAAGCATCGACGTACTACACTGTAATAAAGAAGAAGAGCATTTTCATTCTATTTAACCTTTACAAACCCGCCTGAATGGTAATTTGTGTTCTCAGGGAAACCCATGCAAGGGCAAACATCTTTAACACAAAGAGTTTCAACATTCAATCCCATTTTAGTTCATATTCTTCCATCAGCACTGCCTGTCATCTGTTCTTTTTGAAAGAACAGCACAGAAGAAGAAAAGAAGAAAAAACAAGCTGAAATGATCCACTTCCACTAAAATGGTTTAACAAGACACTGTGAAAAGGTCATTGGTTACATAAGGAGTAGGCCTGTCATTCAAATTATATTCAAACTATATCTCAGTACCATTCTTCTGGCAATTAATTTATTTCATACTCTGAGAAAAAGGGTAGGTGATATTTTTCACACCCAATAATAACGTTCCTTTTAAAAATGGAAATACAAATATAAAAGACAAATGGGGCACAAGTGAGGGATTAAGTTATTATATTAACACAAATTACACATTTATCATTAAAAACCAAATGTAATTAAATACTCATGACAGTAAATCATGATTAATTCAGACAAATCAACATTTCTAAGTATGTTTAAAAAAAGGTTTCGTGCAACAGAAAGACAAATAACAGCAGGCAAATGGTTTGTTTGATTCAATGGTAGTAATTGGAAAATGGAATGGAAAAATGTCAATGATAAAGTACAATTCAAAGTTTAGTTTAAATTTAACATCTCTGTGTTGGTGGATTTTTAGTTAATACTAGTATTAACTATTAGATCTTTTACATCAGTACTAATAATCATTTTAGCCATTGAATATTAATTAGTAATCAGACAACAATCGAGAGCCACTGAAGCTAGAAAGATGATGAATTACCTTGAGATTGCTGCTCCATGTGTCCAGGATGTTCTCCATCTGGCCTATGTTCTCCTCTGAGATGAACAGCTCCATCATTTCAGATGTGTTGAATTCTGGGCTGCTGGGCTTTGGTCTCTCTGTGAGCCTCTCCAACTTGTGTGAATTAATGTCTGAGATTATAGAACCCCTGCCAAATGAGTGAGCTGCCATATCCTCAGCTAGAAACAAGAAGACAGAGCAATAATTGTCAACGTAAAGATAGAAATGATCTTCAATGTTTTGTTTAGTTGTTTATAATTTTATCTTCTTACCCTTAGATGCTCTTGAAAGAGTGGTAGCCTCCACTATCAAGGAGGAGGCCTGAAATGACCTTTCACCTCCAAAGAAATCTGCTTCATCTTTAGCTTCAGTAGAAGTATCTGGCGGAAGACAAGATGGATAAGAGAATTTCATATCAGGCTTCAAAGGGAGAAACATAAAAAAAACAAAAACAAACACAAACACACGCTAAGACTAACCTGTTGTCTTTCCCAGATTAGATTATTTCTTTAATTTAACAATGCCGTGTCTAAGATTAGCATTTTGACAACTCACTTTGGCATAAACATTGCTATAAAAAAAAATAAAGTAACACAATTGCCAAACACAGGAACGAAAAAGGTGAACGGGAACAGAGCTACGTCAGACAAGTGGTCCACATCCAGGAATTACTTAATGTCAATATCCTAATTAAATACTGCAGGGAGAATGGAAAGCCTACACTCTAAAGAGCAGTGCGGGCAGAAAGCCAAGAGATCGTTACCAAGCAGCCTGTCGACTTCCTGCATCCCTACACACTCTATCACAATAGTTAAAGCACTAACCCTCAAATGAGCTGCTGTGTGTGAATGATGGCCTGTTTAAGATGTGTGTGTGTCATAAAGAGAAGATACAGCTGTGAAATCTGAGAGACATGAGCCATGTGCATCTTAAAAGGAAGAGTATTCAGGAATATACACCATAGAAACCAGGCACTAATAATCTACCCTTTTTTGCATTGTACAGTTGTGTGTACAAATCAACTATAAAGGTGTTTCTATGCTACATATTTATCAATCTACTGTAGGTAAAAAAATATACAGGACAGCAGGATGGCATTTTTAAAACATTATTTTAAAAAGTGTGATTTATCTGTCACAATAACAAAAAAAAATAGTGGTTGCTCAACTTACAGTGAATGGAGCGCCACCTCTACCTGCCCTTCTTTGATAACATTTAAGCTAAGACATACAGTATTAATCCTCTGGAACATTTTCTACATCCAAGCAGCAATCACTAGTCTTGAGTGCTCTTGTGTGGAAAAATGTTACCTGAGAAACAGTATTTAACAGAGACAAATCCTGGTTGTGTTCATTTTAAAACCCCTATTAGTGTAGGCCAGGTTGTATGGCATGTAGTGCCATGTGTACCTGCTGGGCGCTGTGATCTCTTATTGTCTTTCCTTTGGGAACTCTCTTGATTGTCAGCAGTCTGGCGTGAGAGATTCAGTCGGTGTAAGTGAGCAGCACTGTGCAGCGTCTCAAACTTGGGAGTGACCACAGCATAACGAAGGAGCTCCTCATATTCATCCTGTTCACACAATGAACATAACGAGCATTTTTTAAATTACAGATTAATAAATGTGAAAGCAGTTAAGTATCAATTCATTAGCACTGCATGGAATATCTATAAACTTAATTTATTTAAATTGTATTAATTTAATTTTTGGTAATTATTTATACCCCATAGGATAACTGTGATTGGTTCAGATTTAATATTTATTTGTTTTCTGTTCTTCTCCAAAGAGTAGTAAATAGCCGACTTGGTCTAAATCAGTTAATCTTAAAGTGAAAATCTAAAACTTCATGATAAAAATACATTAACTGAAAATATTTGCTTGGCTGTTTCACCTGTAGTTCAGAGGACACAGAACTTCCTCGGTCTGAATCCTTTGGCAAAAACGGACTGAGTGGCTCCTCATCGTCTGTGGACATCTGGACAGAGGGGCAGTCAACAGTTTTTTTCCTCTAAAAGAACAGGGTCTTAAAGCTTGGTAAAAACTTCTTTACTGTATATGTTACTGTAACACGTATTTATTCAATATTCAGTCTATCTAAAATGAAACACGTTTAGAAGATAAGCAATGATAAAGGCTTTAAAGAGGGACGGATCATAATACCAAATATGCGGAAATCAGAACACGTTTCTCCGGTGGCTGCTACCCAAAAACGGTTAAAAGCCTCTGTCAAGAACGAACAGCTACAGCCTCACTGTTGCCAAATGACTTTTTATCATACTTCCTTTCTTACCTGCTTTTAAATAATTAATGAGTTTTCACGCTGCTACACTCCTCCGTTTGTTTCCTCGTCAGTTAAAAACGCTTGCGTTGCCGTTTCAAACCTCAGGACTCGTCAACAACCCATGCTCTGACTGGTTGACTGTGATGACGCAAATTAGTAAATCGTTCTTCATTGGCTTCAGTGTTTCCACGACTACGACAAGCGGAACGACGCCAATCTCACCAACTGCTTAGTTGGCCTCTCCGGAAGTTAAGTTGTTTTGCTCATTATTTTAAAGCATTTTGGAGAGAGTCGAATGAACTGGTTTTACTTTGGTTTTATGTTTCTTAACGGAGATTTTACGGAGAACCGCTATGCTGTTTTCTCTACTGAGATTGTCTTTATATTAAAAAGTGGAAATCTGCAATAGATATGTGTTGTGATAGAACTCTGACCCCGCATCAGGCACAGTTATTTAGAACGGATTATTATATTTAATTATTATCCGCAGATATTGGACCTAGAATGGTTTCCCGGTCAGTTCCAGTTTTAAATAATACCACTGATGAAGAGACTGTTGTAACTAACAAACTCTCCAAAAATTACTACATGGGAAATTTTGAAAATAAGATAATAGTGATATTGTAAAAGTGATGAGAGAAAATTCCTTCCCAAAAAATCACAATCCTGAGGATTGCTTACTTTATAAACCTCCACCAAGGTTACTCAGTTCCCACAGCACTCCAAAACCTGATCAGTATAAATGACCCACCTCCAAATTCTCAGCATTCCAGGCTTGCAGTATATTCTTCATCCTTGGAATACTTTAAAAATCTGTCCTTTATACTTTATACCTGGATGACTCACAAACAGTCTACTGCCAATAAAAAACGTTGCTTGTGACAAAAGGATCACGATCACAGCCCCCTTGTGCATACATTTTATTTAATCCTGACAGTTAAAGCAGGGTATAAATTTGAACCAGAGTCGTGAGGCACAAAGGATAATCCTTGCATTTCTATTGGGAGACGTGGTTTTCTGTTGAATGACGGGAAACTGTGGCTCCCACGGATTAACTCTACCATTTTAGAGCTGATGGTTCACGTGTTTTAAAATGATTCGGTAACATATTCACCCTGGTTTCCCTTCGAGGGTGATTCCTGTCATCACAAACTAGGTTCTTAGATTAACTGTTTATTAGTAATCATGCAGGTGGCGACACATTTTCCTGTGCTGTCTGTATTTGTCCCATTTATTTGGAACTGATGAGCGATAGCCAGCTGCATAAACAAAGGCTCTCGTGTACAGGTAAATAGATGGACATGCATATGAAATATAAAAAAACACAAAGACTCAGTCAGCACCAGGATTATAAGCATGTGTAACCCAGTATAAACACACAAATACATACAATAATATTATTCATTTGCACAAAAACACCAATAAAAACAATCTTTAAACAAAGACTGAATTTTGAACATAACAAATATTCTTGGTCTTTTTACAAAGACAATCATTTTTAGAACAGTGATCGTTTGAAAAAATTATACTTTTTGTTTGCCTTTAAAAAAAGGAATCAGACTTTCTGTCAGTGAAATAAATGCACCTGGGCCTCTGGTCTGAAATACATTCAGCTCACATCCTTCTCTCATAGCCTGTTCAATCGGTTCCAGGACAATAATCACAATCCATTTGACATTCTTCCCCCTCGTATTTTGGCTCAGCTACTTATTTCAAGACATTGCAATGGTAGACAGAACAGAAATAAGGAAATCATGTACTGCCTTTGTACAGTTTGACTTTGTTAGTGAACTTTTCTGACTGTATTTGATTTGAATTTGACCAATCAAAAAGCATTTTACATCTTTTTAAAACATCAGATTAGTTACCTGATGTCATATTTTTCGTTTCTCCTTTGTTAGGTTTTCCTTTTGATCAATTTTCAGTCACAGAGAGCCATAACTCCTGCAGACACTATCTAATGTGCTGTCATCAATCGTGTATCAACCTATTTTATTTCTCATATGAAACAATGACGGTCTCTTATTGGATGTTCTGTTGCCATAGCTCATCCTCTCATCATTGATCATTGCTGCTCACCTGTTTTCAGATTAGTTTTCATTACATTTTGATAGAGCAGGACTTCCCACACAGGCTGCTGTGATCCATCAGTGACTCCAGTGTCCCTTAGTGTCACTTTGAACAGTGTCTTAGTGTTGACCCAACCAGTAAACAAAGATATATGTTCTCCTAGATCTGAAATGAATGCAGAATATATTGCTTATTTCTTTGCTGTGTTTTCACTATACTGACAGCTATTCACAGATACTGTGAAATATAAAAATTCCGCACTTTCCTTCGTAATAAACCCACTCTACTATACACTAGCACATTTCTTTTTCCTGTGCACGTTGATGTGACAAGGAGAATAGTCTATAGACCTAGAGGAGATGACGAGATTGCACTACCGGCATGTGCAGTGGCCCATGTGTATGCGTGTGTGTGTGCGTGTGTGAGGGTCATTCTACTGTCCCGTACATTAAGCTAAGTGCTCCTCTGCTCTCATGTTGTGATAAATGGAGTCTTGCTCCTTGGGGGAGGTTTGTCTTCCAACTGTGAATTAAAGAAAAAGAGAGAACTAAGCCTCGGGGCAGTGCTTCTGTAAATCATCAAATTCAGAGGTTCATTTTTCTTATTTTGTGTGTTTGTGGGGGTATGTTTGCATGTGAATGCTTCATTTACAAACCAGTTCAGTATCTTTTGTGGAGAGTATATGGCAGAAACCACATCCATGACTCTGTGGTTGAAGCCTTTTTCTACAGTTAATCCTACAGAGATGCAGCTTTAAAAAAACAAGAACTAAATATGGGTTAGGGTTAGTCAAAAACATCAGGAAAACCTGCTGTTAGTTATTTCTGCTTGTGCTGATATGGTTTGTAGACTCTAAGGACATGAAGTGTCCTTGTCCCACTGTAGCATCTGTCCCTCGTCTGGTTTGCTCCTTCTTTTAAAGAAAGCAACAGCCAAACACTCTCTCTTTCATTATTCTAAGAGGGTTCTTATTTAAAAAAGGTTATGTAACTAATACAACAGGGTTGTGCAATATTTTAGTGTGATAGTATTACACTCTTTGTAAGTGCAATTAGCCTACAGTATCATGCAGACTCTACACACTATTCACCACCAGGCATGTTTTTTAAGGCTTAAAAGGCTGAAGTCATTACTAAAGGTGAGTTGTAGAAAACATGGTGAAAGTATAAAAGTGATAATAAATAACTCTTAAGTAGTACTACTATTATTATTATTATTATCAAATTATAGAAGAAGACATAAGGCATAAGGGCTAATACAGTGTGGGCTTTTTTATTTATTTATTATTTTAGCAAACCTGGTTTGGGAGTTCTCACTGATTTTCTTTTTGCTCTTGCCACCGGGGATGGGGAAAAGCACTATTCCCTATTATTAGAGGTATGTATCAGCATTCATTAAAGTAAAAAAAAGACCAAACATTTATTCTCACTGTATTTATTATTGTTGATTGTATACAGAGAAAAACGGAAAAAGTGTGAGGTAGGTGGCGTATCTGAGCGGACGTCAGACACGATTGTCAATATTGCTACTCGATTTTACTCTACTTCGCAGGCATTTTAATTAACCCCTTATTCTCCAGGACCCCTGCATTGGAGTCCCAGATCCTTTTTAAAACGCCTCTGGATTAAAAAGTAATCAAAAAGAAATGCCGGTTTTTGAACTGAGAACCCGAAACTAATTCAATAAACAACACTCATTAAATGTTAGCGGACTACAAATATTATATTATTATTATTATTATATTTAACATTCTACCTGTGCAGTTCCACGATGTTCAGTTTCTTAACGAGATTGTTCCATCAGGAATTAACCGCATCACTCAATGAAATACGGTTATTGATTAATTCAGTGTTCCTCCCTCCCTCCCTTCCTGCATCCATTCTTTCCTCCACCCTCCCTCCTACCAACACACTCTTAGCTTCTCTGCTGCAGCGAAAGGCTGCATTGAAAAAAAAAATCCCGCTTGCGCGCTGTTAATTACGTGATTTTATTCTCATTCTAATCTACCATAAAAAAATTAAAAAAACATTTTTCCTATCAGACCGAGCCTGGTGAAATGGGTTTGCCTCAGCTCTGTCCACTCTTCTCTACATAAATGACGGTAAGTGAGGACTTTTCCATCTAAAAACATAGTGTGTGAGCCAAATCTAACGAATCTAATATCCGCTCCTTCAGTTCAGAGTTAGAATTAAACTGAGACTGCATCTTATTAGCTTAAGTCATGAAAATATGCATGTTGCAATTAGTTTTAGGGCTCATATTCTGTGGTTTTAAGCATAGTTTAGGTTGATTTGAAATTCAAAATGTCATTGCATGATTAAATAATACTGTAAATAATTTGTGTTGAACCCCATGTGAAATTACAATTGAATTTTGTTAGTTTGAACTGTTTCGTAAGCTTCACCTAGTTGTATGTTTATTAAAAACCAACTAGTGCAGATATTATTGACCCTTTCTATTGCATCAACTGTTTTACAGTAGAAAAACACTAGTCCTGGGAAGGAGCAAGAGTTTAGTTTCCCTGGCTGCTGCACACGTACTGTGCATGCTGTATTGCAATCCATGCAGCAACCTGCCCTGGGGCAGTTAAAGCACTCTGCACTACCACCAAAAAAGAAAAAAAAAAAAGAAAAGAGGAGGAGAGGATGTGGGAGCAGAAAAACTGACTCATCCGTAAATTGCACCTCGAGAGACAGTGGGCAACTGACAGGCACACAGCCGCTGAACTAGAAATGTGTGGCCAAGTGCTTTGTGTGCAAGGCGCATGCAGGCTGTCTTAGTGGCAGACCTGCTGGGTCGACACCGAAGGTGTTCATCAAGGAAAAAGCATCAAAGTGATTGCAGGTTGCACCATTCATTCAAGTGATGGCAATTTTAAAGATGACGTAGGGTGTGTCTGTGTGTTTTTATTCAGCCGTAATGAACATTGTTCTCATTGTGAATCAGACAGACAGAGCCCTGCATTGAGAATCTCCTCTTCAATGGCCTGTAATTTTGTTATTTTTTTAAATAAAATTATACATCATCCCATGAGCTATTTTAAGAGAAAAAACTTTTTTTTTCCACAAATGAAGTCCTACTATGCCATGTC